GTTGATGTTTGTGTTTTGGGTGTTGTCCAAAAGTAAAGTGTGGGTGTGTGGTGGGTGGTGTTTGTGTTAGTTTTGGTAAAATGACTCATGTCATAAGTGTATGAGTTAGTTTTGTGATAATGGTTGTAAAGTCTGGATACCTGAGGAAGTAAGTATGGTGGATGAGTTGTGTAATTTCAGTTAATGAAATTTGAAAGTGTAGATAAATTAGAGATGTTAAATCTTATTTGGGAGTATTCAAAAAGATATTTGGAAGTGCTTCAGTGTTTGGTTTGGAAATGTTCAAAGGTTTTATGTGATTATTCAAATGGTTTATGGAGATTGTACGAAGTAATCTTGGGTTGTTCTGTAGTGAATGATTAAGGTTGTGGATGAGAGAATATTTTTTAAGAGATATTGAGAAAAGGTGTCTCTAATGATGATGTATGATAGTGTTTTGGAAGGTGCTCAAAGTATAGTGAGGTGTGTGAGTGTGTGTGTGCGTGTGTGTTGTTGTGTGTGTTTTGTGTGTGTGTGTGTGTGTGTGTGTGTGTGTGTGTGCGTGTGTGTGCTTACTTGGTCATAGAGTTTTTGTGATATCATGGTTTCAGTGATTTTAGTGGATTTGAGATGGGTGATGAGATGCATTTGTGGATGTGAAATTGGATTGTGTGTGTTTTTCAGAAGAGGTGTGTAGGAGATGGTGAGTGGATGTGAAGAAATGTGGGAATGAAGGGTTATGGGGAGGGTTGTATTAGAAAATTTAAATGAAATATGGGGTAATTTACAGAAAAGAAAGGTAATGTGTAATATTTTAAAAGAAGTTATAGAACTGAAAAGTTAATGATATATTGGAAAAGAATGGAGGTGTTGAAAACATACGTCAGTAGCTGGTAGTGAGATTAGTTGTTGGAGTATATCTCAATTTTAATTGTGGATACAAGGAGATTGTGTATGGAAAGGATATTATAGAATATTAGTAAAGAGGGAGGAATGTGTATTTCATTTAAGATTCATTAAAAAGAATGGAAAAATTTGTATCGAAAGATGAAAGAATTGGTGAATAAATTTGGCAAGTGATGAGGGTTGTGGTAAATGTAGTCGAACTAAGATTCCAAAAAGATGTTGTCAGTAGGTGTTTTTTGTGGGTGATGTGGGTGTTGGGGTGATGTGGGTGTGGGTATTGTTTGTCGAACTAGTGAAAGCCGAAAAATTTGTTATAGTTTTGTTGTTGTTTGTGGGTGTTGAGGGTTGTGGGTGATTGGTTGTGGGTGTTAAGGATGTGGGGTTGTGGGTTGTGGGCGTTGTTGTCAAAACTAGAGATACCGAAAAAAGAGTGAGTCCTGTTGTAAGTGTTCGTGTGTGGTTTGGATTGTGTTTCATGTTTTTTTGCACTCATGATATATCATTAGTTGGAGGTGAGCGGGATCGACTTGGTTATAGTGTTTGAGGGGATTTGTGTGAAAATGGGTTTTAGTCTGTGAATGTTTGAATCATAGTTTATGGTACATTTTGTGATGTTTTTGGATGTATTCAGTGGTTTTAGTAGTATTCAGAGTGTGTCTTTGGGAGTACTCAATGGTGGTTTGAGACAATTCAAAGGTTTTATTAGAAGGTGTTCAAATGATGTGCATGAGTAATTTAGAGGTGTTCTGGGAGTAATTAAGTGGTGATTTGGGTGTTTGAATGATGTTTTTGGAGTATTCAAAGGTAATTATGATGTTGTTTTGGTGTTGTTTCAAAGTAAAGTGTCTGAGATAGTTTTTTGTGATACTGTTTGTAAAAGTCTGGAGAATTGAGGGAGGAGTTTGGGGGATTAGTGTATTTATGAAATCATAATAAGTGAAGATAAAATTAGAGTTGTCAAATCTTATTTGGGAGTAATTCAAAATGATATTTTGGAAGTGTATCCATTGTTGTTTGGAAAGTTTCAAAGGTATTTTTTGTGAGTAATCAGTGATTTATGAGAGTGTTTTGAAGGTGTTCAAAGTAAAGTGGGGTGTGTGTGTGTGTTAACTTCGTAATATGTAAAATTGTGACTAGTGAATTTATCGAAAAGTGATTATAAGTTGTAAGTGTTGTGGTGACTTTTTCTGATGAAATAGTTAAAACGAGAAAAAATTGTGGGTTATGAGTGAAAACTGTGAGATGTTGGTGGGAGAATGAGGGTTTGGGGGTGGGGAGAAGGTTACTTCGTGAGGGAGTGACCTAAGATGTTATCTGAGATCGGTCAGATAAGATTCGCCAGACTTTTTTCTGATGAAATAGGGTGTTTTGGTAGTATTCAGTGATAAATTAGAGATGTCAAATCTTATTTGTGAGTATTCAAAATGATATTTTGGAAGTGTTTCGGTGTTGTTTGGAAATGTTCAAAGGTGCTTTTGAGAGTATTCAAACGATTTATGAGAGTGTTCGAAGTAATCTGGGGGATGTTTTGTAGTGAGATGATAAAGGTTGTCGATGAATAATTCTTAAGAGAGATTACGAAAAAGTGTGTGTGTGTGCGTGTGTGTGTGTGTGTGGCGTGTGCGTGTGTGTGTGTGTGTGTGTGTGTGTGTGTGTGTGTGTGTGTGTGTGTGTGTGTTGTGTTAGTGTGGGTAATTAACTAAGTAATATGTAAAATTTTGACTAGTGAAATTATCGAAAAGTGGTTATAAGCTGTAAGTGTTGTGGTGACTTTCTGATGAAATAGTTAAAACGAGAAAAATATCTAGACTTGTGTTGTATTTTGTAAAGAAATTGTGGATTGTTGTGGGTATTAACGAAAAAAAAATATGGAATTATTTGTGTTATCCTGGGTTAAGAGTGAAAATGTGTAATGTTTTCCCTATGTTGTATATGAAATGTGTAATACTGAGATGATGACGACGAAGAAGATCCAGAACAAAATGCACAGAATTTCTTCAAGAGAAAAAGAATTACTCTATGTTGATTTTAGTCAATGAATTGTATCTTTTTTTCAGTGAATTTGTATTTTTTCTGTTGTATTACTTGAAATGTATATGAAATGCATTGGTTGTATAATAAATAAATAAATGAAAATATTGTGTATTAGTGTTATCCTGCATTTTATTGTCTGCTGGACAAGATTCAGCCTGTGTGGGGGTCATCACGTGACGTCACTGACATAGGGGGAAGTCGACAAGATTCAGCCTGTGTGTGTGAGGTCATCACGTGACGTCACTGACCGCCTAGTAAACACAGGTGGGGTGACGTCACACTTGTTTAGACCTGTAGTAAGAGAAAATACCATGCCCAATAGGGGAAGTTCATTTGAATGCTTACCCCTAGAGGGGGGAATCCAAAAAACTTGATCCAAGGAGATGGAGTCTTGGTATTATTTGATATCAAGAAAAACTTGATCCAAGGAGATGGAGGAGAAATACTTGGACATAGAGGATAGAAGTGGATGGTGGGGGAAATCTTTGTGTTATTGATATCGAGAAAAACTTGATCCGAGGAATTGGAGCAGGGAATTTGGAATGCAAGTGGGAGTCCATTTTGAATGCTTACCCCAGAGGGGGGAATCCAAAAAAACTTGATCCGAGGAGATGGAGTCTTTGTATTATTGATATCGAGAAAAACTTGATCCGAGGAAGTAGAGCAGGAATTTTTGGGGTAGAAGTGGGTGGTGTGAGGTGTGGGGTAGGGTGTTGATCCGAGGAGATGGAGCAGGAATTTGGGATGCAAGTGGGAGTTCATTTTGAATGCTTACCCCCAGAGGGGGGAACCTGAGGAAGTGGAGTCTTTGTATTATTGATATCGAGAAAAACTTGATCCGAGGAGATGGAGCAGGAATATTTGGGGTGGAAGTGGGTGATGGGAGGGGTACTCATAGGGGGAAACCCAAAAAATTTGATCCGAGGAGATGTAAAGCACAAGAAAATGAAATTCAAAAAAAATTCGAAAAAATCGGAAAAAAGTTCGGGGAGCGGGGGCGATCCGTACGACGCTGCAGAAGGGCGCTGCAGAAGGCGTGGGCGGGCGCGAGGCGGGCGCGCTGGCGCGCGGGTGCGGCGAGAAGCCATTCAGGAAAGGGAGCCACTCAGGAAAAGGAAGCCACTCAGCCGCAGGAGCCACCCAGCCGCTTTGACACCTACTTATATATAATATATATATATTATAATATATATATATATATATATATAAAAATATATATATATATATATATTATATATGATATATATATATATAATATATATATATATATATATATATAATATATATATATATAATATATATATATATATGCCATGCTGAATAGGTAAAATTGGTCATTTAGCAAGAACTCGTTTAAAATTAAGTGCTTTCTAACATTTTCTCTTATACGTTTAAAAATATATTTTTTTTCATTTATGTTAATGTAAAAAATAATATTTTTGTGTCAAAAGAACCTTAGAAAGCTTACCGAACCTTATTATATCAAGTACAATTTAATTTACCCTAGTCCAACTAAATATGTTTTAAATAAGTTTACGATAATTTAATAATAAAGAAACTCAATGAAATATATTTTTTCCATTCAGATGATTTTTGCGAAATTATTGCATGCACAAATTTTCGCTTGAATTATTCGGAAAGAAGAGCGTTGCTATTTAAGCAACACACGACGTATATTCTGATTTTTAATTTTTTGCATGTGTGTTTAAAGGCTAGGCCTTCCTAAATATGGTATTTTTCATGTAATATTAAGTTTAGCTGTGCAGAAATTAAACCATTCCTCATCGCTCCATTTAATTCTCCCAACAAAGGCTGATAGATGTCGTTACCTCATGTATACATCACATCCTATGTGATCAAATATGACTGGAAAATAGCTGCTTTTGTTCCCACGATGTAATTATCATATAGTATTGGGTAGTAACACTGTTAATGTATTTTTGCTTAAAAAATCTTACCTTGGTACTAAATCTTATATTTAGTATTTTTAGACCGGCTTCACTAGTATTGTCCTAGTGAATAGAAACCATTATTATCAATTGTGTTTTCTCAGAAATAACTATGCTTTTTTTTCTCTCCAGTTGAATACTCATGACTGGGTTGAGCGGGCGTCGGTATGGGCAGTGCACCAAACTATGTTCCGAGTGATCAAGGAGTCAGAGTACGTGGACGAGCGACAACACTGCTTCCTGCTGCAGACGGCCATGCAAGAGTCTCGCTACCTTAGCGTTGAGACACGACAGGACCTCCTCAGGATCGAGAATGCTTGGCATCGCGCCGTCTACAATGCCGTCACCAGACTTGGGGTCAGTGAGAAGTGCTTTCAATACAAATATAAGATGGTTTTAGTTATAATGTGATTCACCTAGCGGAGCTTTTGGATATGTAATCAAGACCTTTAGCTGGTGTGGAAAATAATGCATTTTCCAGAAAAAATAGTGTATTTTTTATGTAAATTAGTGTAACATACTGTATTTAATAAAAATTTGTCATAAAAAATGGGAAGCCTGTGCCTGCACAGAGGAGACTCGCCATTGTTTTTTGAATTGGACACTAACGTTAGTGAAAATAAGAAGAATTTTTCGTACTCTTGAGGTTAAAATTGGGCTGAAACCTTTCAAATAGGAGACGAAATTGTTGGATATGCATTCCTACATAACTTGAGATATCAGGCGACTGGACAAGACAGCTCCAGGAACCTTAGATAAGTTTGTTTATGTTTGTAACTCTGGCCAGTGTTATTTTCATGGATAGACAGTAAGGTTTTCTGAGTATAATACACGTTGATCTCCAGTCAGATTGGTGAGTGTTTTTAAGATATTCTCCTTCTGTTATGTATATGTTTACATATATAATCTGTGGAAAATACTGTATATATTTTCCAGAAATACAGTCGTTATATGTAAATAGATGGCCATACCATATTTAATAAAAATTTTTATAAAAAATGGGAAGCTCTGTGCCTGCGCAGAGGAGACTCGCCATATTTGAACTGGTCAACACAAACGTTAGTGAATAATGGGTAGAATTTTCGTGCTCTAGAGGTAAAATTATGCAGTCCTGCATAACGAGAGAATCAGGCGACTGGACAGGACTCCGTAATTAGATAAAAATAGGATATTACCCCCAGCTAAGTCATGTCTATATATTTATGTTTATAGTTCTGGCCAGTATTATTATCATAAATGTAGACAGAGGGGTTTTCTGAGTATGATACACCTTAATCTCCAGTCAAATTGGTGAGTGATATTAAGATATTCTCTTCTGTTATGTAAATGTGTATATATATAATCATTTATTAATTTTAATATACAGTCCACAAATTTTATATTTACCAGAATTCCTGGTGATGCATATTTAATTTGTAATTAATAGGTCTAGAGCAACTTGTGGATATGACAGTTGTAGGTATCAAAGGGGGACATTTTTTCAGACCTAGGTGTCCCAAATTCCTACTTGTCTATGTAACGTTGATAAATAATAATTATCTTTGTTATTTACTGGTATGTACATTATGAACATCCAGATAAATGCAATTTTCCACATTTAATTTGCCCATTGGTCCTTCTTGAACCAGAGGTAATTAGTGAAGTCATTAATTAGTTAATTACTTAATAATTATATGTGAAATGACAGAAGGAGGTGGATGTTAAGTTCACAAATTTACTTAATGTGTAGTGGATTATAATTATTACAATATTAATTTGGATAAGCCAAGTGTGGCTAAAGATTATATTGTGTATAATATTAATTTTGCTATACCAAATTCTGGCAAGGATTTATATTAATTTGCATAATATTAATTTTGATGAGCCAAGTCTGGCTAAAGGTTTGTATTAATGTACATTTAAAATTTATATTATAATTTTCTTACATGTGTAATTACTAAGCTCAAATGTAGCAAACATTATTAATGTGTATTTAAAAATTTATGTTACAATTTTCATACATGTAATTGCAAAGCTCAAGTGTAGCTAGGATTTATTCAAAGGTAAGTTGTACTATTTACCTTTATAAAGTGCATAATTTAGTATGTAATCAGTGTTATTAATTAAGTTGAATTTAATACATTGCATCATGGGTGAAAATGAGGAAATTAATGTAGAAGCAAACACCTGGAATATAGAGCCAAAAAAACATCACTACAGGCCAGAAAAGGTCATGTAACCAAGGCATATAATAAATGTTTGGAATTAATGAATCAAGAAACTGTGAATACTGATGATTTAAAATTGCATTTAGATGCTTTAGGGAATAGATATGATTCATACAAATTATATTACAACAAATATGAAGGAGATTTGTTAGTAAACTGTGTAGATGAGACTGAAGTAGATCTCATGATTAATCAGTATTATGAATTAGAAGAAAAGTTTCTTGTAAAAGTCAGGCTTTGAATAAATTAAAATGTGTAAACCAGGCAGTTAATCAGTCTGCTCCAACAAATAAGATGTCTTTGCCAAAACTCCAAGAATTATGTTTACCTGTATTTAATCCTGGAGAAAATTGGGAGGAGTTTTGGTCAATTTTTAAAGCAGCTGTGCATGATAGAAGTGACCTAGCCTGGGTAACTAAATTATTTTACCTCAAAGGACAGATTAGAGGAGATGCTCACATACTCATACAAGCCTTTCCCAATGTAGATGACTCTTACAAGGAAGCAGTTGACTTGTTGAAGGTCACTTATGGTAATATAGAACAAAGTAGGTTGGATCTAGTGAATATCATTGTTAATTTAAAATCGCCAGATCACACTTACAAAGGTTTACAGCAGTTTAGAGTTAAACTGGAGAGCACTCTCAAAACTTTAAGTAATAAATATATCTGAAGGAATCTGAAGGAATCAGACTGGTTATTGAGTGCCATGGTACAGAATAAATTAAACTATAAAACACTTGAATGACTCTCCAACAAATATCACAAGGGTTATTTTGGTCTGGAGGAAATAAGACTAGGTCTACAAGAATTAATTGTGCAGTTGCAGACAAGACAACTAACTCATTTTAAAGATGCAACACATAATAACTCTGAGGTATCTGTCAAGTTTCACAAAGGGAAAAATTATCCCAATGGTAATAATCAAAATTCATTTCCTAAAAATAGCTGTATAGGTACATATCAAGTAGCAGGAATCAGAAATAATGATTCTCCACAAGGTAAGAAGAATAAGTACCCTCCTAAGAGTAGCCCAGTTAATAAGAAACCAGCCAAAGAAAATAGAGATTGTCTCTTCTGCAAGGGTACTCATTTTTCTAAGAATTGCAATGTATACAATTCACAGAATGATAAAGTTGAAAGATTGGAGGAACTTGACAGATGTATCAGGTGTTTAGGTAATCACAATGTAAAGGATTGTCATGCCAAATTAAACAACTGTTATCAATGTCACAAAGGAAGACACCATATAGTCATGTGTAAGGGTCTATATGATAATGTTGATAATAATGATAATGTTGACAATCCTGGCACAACAGTAGCTAATGTAAAAATTGCTGCTAATGTTAATAATGATGGTTTTGCTGAAGTAGCCTTACCTGTGTTACAGGTAAAAATTGATGATAAAAGGCATAAATAAAAAAATGTAAATGCATTATTGGACCTGGGATCCCAGCATACTTTCATAAAACGTAAATGTCTTGATGGTATGAAAGTACAGATGGGAGATCGCACAACTTTAAAATTATCTGGTTTTCTCTCGGATAAAAGGGCTCAATTGTATGGCACTGTTTATGTAACTGTCAGGTTGGGCAATGAGAAAAAACGTGTTTATGCAGTAATTGTAGATAGACTTCCAGAGAAAATATCTAGAGTAGGACTTAGTAAAGCTACAGAAAGACTTTCACATAATGTAAATTTAGCACCTTGTGGTATAAGTGATGATTCTGTGGGCCCAATAAATATTTTGATAGGTAGTGACTATTATGACTCCTTTGTAAAGGGTATGGTAAAAAAATGTGGTGTCACCCTTTTGAAGACTGCAGGAGGCCATGTAATGTATGGTAGGATTCCTCGTAATAATAATTCATGACTAGAGGAAACTACAAATACCATAACTGTGTGTCTTACTCATGAAATCGTACCCCAGTATAATTCTTCCATAGAGGATGGTGTTGAGCCAGTGCATAAATTGTGGGAATTAGACAGCATTGGAATAAATGTAAATGAAGAAAGCCCAGACGATTCTTTTACTCTGGAACAATACCTGAGAGATGTAAAATTTGAATCTGGACAATACTGGGTACGACTTCCGTGGAGACTGAACCATCCAGAATTGCCCACTAATTACAGAATGGCATATGGACAGTAAAAGGCTCAGCTCCGCGAAATGAGTAAGACACCAGAATTGTTAACTGCCTATAATGATATAATTGCTGAACAATTAATTAATAAATTTATAGAAGAGGTACCTCCTGAGCAAGCCAAAATTTATGGTCACTATTTGCCACATCACGGAGTGAAGAAGGATTCTAAGACCACTCCTCTGACGATTGTGTTTAATTGTTGTGCCAGGAGTAACAAAACTGTACATAGTTTAAATGACTGATGACAGGTCCGTCGTTGACGGAAAAATTAGAAGATATCTTATTAAATTTCAGGATGAAGAATTATGCCTTTACGGCTGACATAAGTAAAGCTTTCCTAAGAGTGGGTTTACAAGAGGCTGACCGGGATTGTACCCGCTTCTTATGGCCTGAGAATCCTAGTGACCCACTTAGCCCTCTGAAAACCTTTCGCTTTAGGAGCATATTATTTGGTGCTACATCCAGTCCGTTCCTACTTCAAGCGACGATAAATGCACACCTTAAACGTATGGGAAGTCCATTGAATAAAGTAATGAGCATACAGTTTTATGTGGACAATTTCCTGGGTGTGACGTCAACTGAAGAGAAACTGTTAATGACTTACGGAGAGGCTAATAAAATAATGCAAAGCGCAAATATGCCTCTGAGGGAATGGAATAGTAATTCGTCCAAATTAAATGACAAAATAAGTTAAGATTACACTGGAGATGAAGTGCCAAAATGTAGTAATATATTGGGTTTAACTTGGGATACTGAGAGAGATTTGTTAATGTTAAAACCTAATAATTACAGTATGCCCAATAAATTAACTAAGAGAGTTTTACTTGCTGAAGTTTCCAAATGTTTTGATCCACTAGGTTTAGTGTCACCCCTTACTATAAGAAGGAAATTATTAATACAGGAAACATGGAAACTTAAATGTGCTTGGGATGAAATTCTACCTGAGGAATTAACAGGTGGGATGAATTAATTGGTGATTATGAGAAAATTCCAATGTTGGAGTTCCCACACCAGGTGGCCAATCCAAATGGAAAAAATGTACTCCACATTTTTTGTGATGCTTCAAAATTGGCATATGGAGCAGTTGCTTACCGTCAATGTAATAGTGTTATTTCTCTTGTTATGTCTAAGGCTAAAGTGTCTCCAATTAAATCATGTACCTTACCTCAGTTAGAATTAACAGCCATTTATGTAGGTGTCAAATTAGCTAATTATATAAGAAATAAGTTGCAGGAGATAAATATTAGCGACACTGTAATTTGGTCTGATAATGAGGTATCCTTACAATGGATTCGTAATGGAAACAGTAAAATTGTGTACCTTTTAAACAGAGTCGCTGAAATTAATCAGATGCAAGAGAAGTATAATAGTTTGGGTGAGCATAAGTTAACATTTAATCATATACCAGGTGAGGAGAATCCAGCTGATTTCTTGTCTCGAGGTTTACCTTATGCTAAATTTGTAAATGCTGTATCATGGTTTAAAGGGCCGAGATTTTTGGTAAATAAAGCTAATTGGCCTATACAAAAGGCGTATATTGCTCCTGTTGAAATTACTGTGACCACCGCTCCAATAGTTTGTCTTCCCTTAGCCATTGATATAAATAGGTATTCTTCTTTACCAAAACTAATCAATGTAACTAAGTTGGTGTTTAATTTTTTAAACAAGATGAATATCTCATATAAGTTTTCACGTCCTCTTGAATATTGGATAAAGAGGGTACAAGAAGAAATCTGTGGAAATGAGATTAAATTGATGATGGAAAGAAAAATTGTGACAGGTTCTATAATAGAGAAATTGGGGCTATATTTAGAGAACAATGTAATTAGGCGCAGAGGTAGGTTACAAAATGCTGAATTGGGTGATTATGCTAAACACCCTATCTTACTGCCCAAAACTCATCATCTAACAAATTTGATTGTTCTAAATGCCCATAAAAATGTAATGCATGGTGGGGTACAAGATACCTTAAATTGTATTAGGAAAACTTTCTGGATTCCACAAGGATGGCAAAGTGTAAAAAGGGTGATTAAATCTTGTGTAATATGTCGCCGTGTGGATGCCAGATCCTATATGTACCCAGGTCCTCCACCATTGCCAAAGGAGCGTGTACAATTAGTGAAACCCTTTGATGTAACAAGTGTAGACTATAGTGGTCTAATAATTTTAACAGGTACTTCGGATGGTGTTCCACTGAAAGTATATGTTTGTTTGTTCACCTGTACTGCTACTAGGGCAGTTCATTTAGAAGTGGCACAGGACTTGTCTGCAGAACAGTTTATACAGCTGTTTCGAAGATTTGCAGCTAGGAGATCCTGTCCGAGATTGATGATTTCGGATAATGCCACAAATTTTGTTGCAGGTGCTCAACATTTGATAGAGTTAAATAATAGTAACGATGTTTAATCTCTGTTAACCCAACGAGGGTGTACCTGAAAATTTATTACTTCTAGAGCCCCTTGGCAGGGGGGGCTGTACGAAAGACTTACAGGCACAGTGAAGCGGTGTCTCCGTAAAGTACTACACCGGAAGAAAATTAATTTGGAAGAATTCCGTGCAGTGTTAGTGGAGGTGGAAAATCAGATATATAATGGGCCTCTCTCGTACATGAGTGATACACATGATACAGATGTATTAACACCTTCTCACCTAATATGTGGAAGGAAATTGGAAGCTGCCCCTGTCTATAGAGATAATCTGGAAGTGATGAAGATTACAATGATGCAGCAGTGTTGTGTGATAAATTTAAAATGTTAAATAAAGTAATTGATGATTGGTCTAATGTGTGGTGTAAGGAATATCTTCTTACACTACGTGAACACTTTTATGGTGCGACAGAGGCAGTAAATCGACAGAACATTCAACCATGTGACATTGTGTTGATTGATACTGAACAACATCGAACGTGGCCTCTGGGCAAAGTATTGACATTGTACCCAGATGCGCAAGGTGTTGTCCGGAATGTCAAAGTGTTGTGTCGTGGCCAGGAAAGTTTATGCACAATTAATAAATTGATTCCCTTGGAATTAAATGGTGTTCAATCAAACATAAATGAAAATCAGAGGGAAAGTGACACGAGTGATATGGAAGATAACGCTGACCAAGTGATGCCGGAAGATGAAATCGTAGTAAGACCTACTAGGAGAACAGCCACTCAAGCCAGAACCGGCTGGAATCGTCTCTTAAAGGAAGGAGTAATTTGAGTCATTTAGCAACAAACTCCGGCCGGCCACAGTGTGGAAAATAATGTATTTTCCAGAAAAAATACAGTGTATTTTTTATGTAAATTAGTGTAACATACTGTATTTAATAAAAAAAATATGTCATAAAAAATGGGAAGCCTGCGCCTGTGCAGAGGAGACTCACCATTGTTTTTTGAATTGAACACTAACGTTAGTGAAAATAAGAAGAATTTTTCATACTCTAGAGCAGTGGTTCCCAAACTGGGGGTAAATTACCCCCTGGGGGTAATTTAACCATTTTTGGGGGGTAATGGAGGGGTGACAGAAAAAAGTTATGAATTCAGAAAATCAAGAAAACAATGCAGTACCCGGTATGAGGATTATTGTTAACTTTGTCTTAGTATATAAAGTTGTAAAGTAAACCTATTATAAGTAAGTAATAAAGTTAAACCAAATAACAATAAACATCAAAAACTAACATACAGTATTAGAAAAGAAGAAATATATAGCTAAGTGTGTGGAAACCCAAAAGTATTTTGACAAGTATGCTTCAGGACAAAAGTCACTCAGTAGCCCAGATCGACCTGTCCAGTACGCGTCACTCACTTCCTGAGGCTGCCTCTATTTCACACTGTCAGTTTATCTGTGAGCATCAGCCGAGGTAGACATAAGCTGGTATGTATGTGTACTGCCCTGTGCAGTATATAGTTAGTATTTACCCACTGTTACTGTGAATTTGTAGCTATTATTAATTTTATATATAATGTATGTGTGGTTCTTACGTTTTCAATGGTTTTGCTAGGATTAGCAGAGTATGCGAGGCTGTATACGTTCACGTTTAGCCATATATATCAATAATAACAACATTTTGTGAAAGGGGTAACATGCTTTATGTGGCATGTTAAATTGGGTAACAAGCTGAAAAAGTTTGGGAACCATTGCTCTAGAGGTTAAAATTGGGCTGACACCTGCCAAATAGGAGACGAAATTGTTGGATATGCATTCCTGCATAACTTGAGATATCAGGCGACTGGACAAGACATCTCCAGGAACCTCAGATAAGTTTGTTTATGTTTGTAACTCTGGCCAGTGTTATTTTCATGGATAGACAGTGAGGTTTTCCGAGTATGATAAACCTTGATCTCCAGTCAAATTGGTGAGTGATTTTAAGATATTCTCCTTCTGTTATGTAAATGTGTATATATATAATCCTTTATTAATTTAATATACAGTCCACCAATTTTTATTTACCAGAAATCCTGGTGATGCATCTTTCATTTGTAATTAATAGGACTAGAGCAACTTGTGGATAAGACAGTTGTAGGTATCGAAGGGGGACATTTTTGCGACCTAGGTGTCCCAAATTCCTACTCGTCTATGCAACTGATAAATAATAATTATCTTTGTTATCATTTACTGTTATGTACATAATGAGTTACATTCAGATAAATGCAATTTTCCACAGCTGGCTTTCCGATCAACCCTGCAAGATGTAATGGAAGGATTTCCAGTCACATAGCTGGGTAGTATTCTAGAACTATGGTAGAACACTGTACACACTCTGGTACCTAAAGTTGTCTAGCCTAGGCATCCAAAATGCCTAGGTGAGAAGTCTGGAGTAATATACAGACTGAGAGTTTAAAACCATTGTAGTACAAGGTTTAGGTTAGGTAATATTCCTCAGGAAACAGGGCAAGTGTTTCCTGACGCGGGTCGTATGTCAAGAGTATTACTAGTGTAGCATAACTTATACATAGATTTCCTAGCAATATTATAGGCAGGTTCCCTGGCCAAGCTGACGTCACGTGACTCCCCAGCATGTAGGCCGCCACCACCTGCCTCTGGAGCTTTGGTTTATCTGACCGAGGCCTTCTAATGGCTTACCAACTCACCAATTTAAAAATTAAGGCTATAATCATAACCATTATTTGCAGAACAAGACGTTTGCGGTAACCCAGGGAGGCAGATCGTCTGGGTTGACGCTGGACTGGGCGGGCGGCTTCGCTCTTTACGACACCGAGACGAGAGAGTTCCACTGGCGTTACAAGTTCTCCCAACTCAAGGGTTCTTCAGACGACTCCAAGACCAAACTCAAACTCCACTTCCAGAATGAAAATAAGGAGATTGAGACGAAGGTGGGTGTGTAGGTGTGGTGTGTAGATGTAGTTTGGTGGAAATGTGTTTGCGAGGATGCGTCAGCGTTTGTGTGGGCGTATTTTTGTGGAGAAAGCGAGTGTGTATATTCTATTTTGTCACTGTGGGTGTGTTTGTGTTGGTCAGTGTGTGGGCGTAGGCGGTGATGTATCACTGATTGCAAATGAGAATGTTTGTGTGTACTTGCTTTAGTGTATTTGTAGAGGTTGAACCGTAACTCCTGGCCCCATTTAAGTACTACTGACCGCTTTACTTTTTTTGTATTAATATTGGTAGAATTACCGACTATATATTAAGTAAAAGGACACAAATCCAACTAATGTGACATTTTATTGTGGCAACGTTTCACTCTCCAGGAGCTTTATCAGGCTTGATAAAGCTCCTGGAGAGCGAAACGTTGCCACAATAAAATGTCACATTAGTTGCATTTGTGTCCTCTTAACACTTTTTTTGCCTTCGGGGGGTCTACCAGTACCAACACTTGAAACTGTGGTTGGTGTTTGCCTCTTCTGCTTTTTCGCCTAGTGAGTGTTAGCGGAAGTATGTTAATGTATCATGGATGCGGACTGTGGGTTTATCATACGTATTTTTGCACACACGTTCCTGTGAAAAAAATAAGAGAAATATACTAGGTCGATAACTTTCGTTTACACTCACGTCTTGGGTAGAACTAACTTACTCTTCCATCAACCTAGTCCTCTCCCATCAGCCTAGTCCTCCCCTAATAACCTAGTCCTCTTCCATCATCCTAGTCCTCCATCAACCTAGTCCTCTCCATCAACCTTAGTCCTCTTCCATCATCCTAGTCCTCCATCAACCTAGTCCTAGGCCGTAATTTAGAGTATAACTGCCTCAACTTGCAAATTTTAATAAAAATTTTCACATTTTTTAAAATCTTAGTGAAGTACTGACGTATAATAAGAGAAGGCTACCAAACTTGTTTTTCACTAAATATTTTTATACCGTACCTGGGTCCAGGAGCTGGAGTGTGCCACCAACCTTCAGAACCTGCTTTTCTGCATGCATGCCTTCCTCACCGCCAAGGTGGCGGCCGTTGACCCATCCTTCTTAAGAGCTCCACCCAAGACGCCCACGTAGTCACGCCCACGCCCATAAGGTAAGATTTCAATCATTCTCAGTCAGTATCAATCAATATCAATCAATGAATATCATGACGCCCACATAGTAACGCCCGCCAGTTCATTCTACGTTTTCTTAACTCCATTATAGTCAGGCTACGCCCATAAGGGGTAGCACCCACGCCCACAAAGTGAGTATACATACAAGGTGTCCATGTAGTCACACGCTCACACAGCCCAGAAATGAACACACGCTCATGTACTCACGCTCACAAGGCACATAGTGACACCTGAGCATATCTAAGAATTCGGAGCAGCTTTATAGAGCTTTAGGGAAGTGAGCGGAAAAATGAGCCAAGACATAAATTAGTCATCGTTTTCATCCTCATCTCCAGATAAAGTTGCCATTCATGATGCATTTATAAAACAAATATGTATTATGTTGATGAAGCTGTTTTGTACGTTCGCATATTGCAATTTAAATGAGTTTATTTCAATTTCTTTTTATGACAGATGAGGAAGCGAGGATGTGTGCGGGGCGGTCAAGACGTAGACGTCAAGCTTAACCGTACAGCAGACATCTCTTCTGCTAAGGAACCAGTTATATTTCGCGACGTCACAAATACGTCATTATTGTTGTACCAATTCAAAACAAATCCAGTCCTTCCCCCGACCCCTACCCTTCCCTTCCCGGTCCTGAACCAATCACATACCCACAACGTCAACAACAAATGTATTCAAACTGTTCCGCCATTAGAAAAAAAATGTACTTCCATCTTTACCTGTACCAATAGTAATTTGTGAATGCTAGTCATAGATGTCTTTACATAGTGTAATGGTCGTTCTTCAAGACCTGGCTCGGAGTATCTTGCTCTTTTTTTGTATTATAAGATCAGTAAGTATAATGATATAGATTATGGAGAAAGATGAGACATAATGGTTTGAGTGGAAGAAAATATGGTGGTTGAGTCTTATTTTTTCCTCTTTTCTCGCATGCTTTATAATTACAATAAATATTCAGTTCTAGGTGTACCCTTCCTCACACACTTCTAATACCCCTTAGGGCTCCCTCACCCCTTATAATCAATTCTTTCAGTCAACTTATACATTAAATACTGACTTACACACTTATACATCAAGATATACCCTGCTCTGTCTTCTCTTAAACTCCATCAAACAATTGCAGTCATATTATCTCCATCATATTACCCCCATTCCCCACACAATTCCCTCCACCCCCTCCCCCTTCAACCTTCCTCACATAAAATTTCGTGATGTTCACTGTGTTCATTGTTCAAAGTTGTTTAAAATTTATTTGTAAAGTGTGTGTGTGTGTGTATGTTTTGTGTGTGTGTGTGTGTGTGTTTGTGTGTGTTACACAGGTGTCTCCTTCAACATACCTTAAAGTCTTACAAAATACCCTAGACGAGTCTTGGAACGCGGCCATATTATATTTGAGAAGTTATTGTGACGTTCAGATTTGTTAATAGCTTTAACAGTTGTACATACTACCGATGTTAATATTACAGTATCTTGCATGATTACATATTTGTGAATACAAACCACTTATCTTTTTTTGTGTAGCTTTCTCCAGCGAGATCAATTTGTCAACGCAGGACTATATACATATTATATATATAGATATATATACATATACATATTAGGAATGATCAAACAGCATCTATAAATTTGTGTGAATGGGATGTTAAACATAAAACATCCGTAATACTCCTTCCCAGTTACATTACTCTGTTAATATATCTCATGAATATTAAAGATTCCATTGCTCGTGCCCGGAGTAAACCTCTCGTGATCTGAATAAGTCGAAGAAGCATCTTCAGTCTATTTTTTACGTGTGCTAATGAAGTTTACCAGACTTGTGGCACCGGACAACTCTTAGGGCGAGGGCTCGGTAGCTTTGTCTTTCTTCAACGCTGCCTTCTTCAGCGATGCCTCCTCCAACGCTGCCTTCTTCAGGGTCGCCTCCTCCAACGCTGCCTCCTTCAAGGTCGCCTCCTCCCATGCTGCCTCCTTCAGGGTCGCCTCCTCCCATGCTGCCTCCTTCAGTGATGCCTCCTCCAACGCTGCTTTCTTCAGGGTCGCCTCCTCCAACGCTGCTTCCTTCAGGGTCATCTCCTCCAACACTGCCTCCTTCAGCGTCGCCTCCAAAGCTGCTTCCTTCAGTGTCGTCTCCTCCAAAGCTGCTTCCTTCAGCGTCGCCTCCAACGCTGCCTTCTTCAGCGACGCCTCCAACGATGCCTCCTTCAGCGACACCACCTCCAACGATATCTTCTTCAGCGACACCTCTTTCAACGCTGCCTTCTTCAGCGACGCCTCCTCCAACGCTGCCTTCTTCAGCGACGCCTCCTCCAACGATGTATCCTTCAGCGACACCTCCAACGCTGCCTTCTTCAGGGTCGCCTCCTCCAACGCTGCTTCCTTCAGGGTCGCCTCCTCCAACACTCCTCCTTCAGCGTCGCCTCCAAAGCTGCTTCTTTCAGCGTCTCCTCCAACGCTGCCTTCTTCAGCTACGCCTCCAACGATGCCTCCTTCAGCGACACCACCTCCAACGCTGCCTTCTTCAACGACACCTCCTCCAACGCTGCCTTCTTCGACGACGCCTCCTCCAACGATGCCTCCTTTAGTGACACCTCCTCTAACGATGTCTCCTTCAGCGACACCTCCTCCAACGCTGCCTCTTTTGGTGATAGGAACTTGGTACTGGCATTCCGACAGTTTGTAAATAAGACGCATATCTTACATTAGAGTGTTTTACTAGGAAACGTTTCGCTAAAAGGAAAATCCAACAGTCCAGCTGATTGATAGTTTCCCGTGAACGATATGGTTCCTAATAAAATGTTCTGGCCTTCCCAATATGTTTCACTGGCACACGTTGCTTCTATTAACGTTGCATACTTCAAAGTTGCCACTTTCAGGGTTGTATCCTACAACGTTGCCACCTTCAGAGTTGTATCCTACAAAATTTATTTCTTGGACATCGCCTCCTCCAGCACTCTCCTCCAGCACTTCCTCCAGCATCTCCTCCTTCAGCATTTTCTCCTCCAGCTTTACCTCCTGCAGCGTCGTCCTTCATCGACTGGGAATTTCAATATCTCCTCGGCTCAGAACTAGTGCAATAGAACGCATATGTCTCTCCCAGTGTAAATGGTGTCGAGGATGCGCTTTTACTCGTACTTAAACTTTTCAAAATCATGAGAATTCATGCTTAAATTTGCACTTATTTTAAACGGGCAACTGTCTAAGTCGACAGATATTGTTTCTCTTGTCAATCCGCGCTTCTCAGGTAGAAGACGAGTTAACCTATACTTAGAGGCGGCTCACAGTAAAAGCCTTGAGAGAGCCTATACTAAGAGGTAGCTCTCAGGAGAAGGCTTTAGGAGGCAGGAGAAACCTGCACGAGAAAGTCAACAAGAGGCAGCTTACAGGAGGAAGAGAAAGGCATCAGGAGACACCTTTCAGGAGGTGGAAGCCAACAGAAAGCAGCATACAGGAGAAGGAAGCCTACAGTTGGTAGTTGTCTTTGCCGTTGTTGTACCCCTGGCAGGAAGGAAACTGTTAGAAAAGCAATTTAATTGTCACAATTCAGACGGTCTTACTGAGTTATTAGTCCTTGTAATGGACTTAACGAAGGTCATGACTGTTCTCCAACAACGATACTTCATCCCTGTATTCATGAGGAAAGATCAAATATTGCAGTAACACACAGGTGTTTACAAATATGTGTTACATTGCTCACTTTCGACACATTTGTTTACAAAGGTCTGGTACTTGTAAATATGAAAAAACAGAGACGTTTGGCTCTACACGGAATAATTGCAACCATTATAATGAATCCCGGAAATAGGGACGACAACGATAATGTTCGTTTCCAGTCTGGTTTAGCCAGGTTTTCGATGGTACATTATGAATAACATTAGTCCTGCTGTGTTTGGGACAGATATGCACAGAGCTACACACACACACACACACACACACACACACACACACACACACACACACACACACACACACACACACACACACACACACACACACACACACACACACACACACACACACACACACACACACACACACACACTAAACAAAGAGGAAATATATTCCGTATCTCTGGTATATATATATTTTTTCTGTGGTTAAATCATTCTATCGCGTTTTGAAAAGAAGAATTCTACTTCCAATACGTGAATTCTTCTGTGTGGTAAAACTTAAAGGAGTTGTGTCAGTGTATTATACGGTAGTATGTGTTAGTTAATTATAAAGGAGGAGAATTAGCGTTAGCGAATTATAAGGAGGGATAATTAGCGTTAGTGGATAAACAGGAAGGATCATTAGTCTTAGTGGATTGTGAGGAAGAATGAATAGTGGCCTATAAGGAAGGATGGGTAGTGTTAGTGGATTATAAGAACGAATAGTGTTAGTTGATTATAAGAATTAACGTGAGTGGCTTATAACAAAGGATAAGTAGTGTTAGTTGATTATAAGGAAGGGCGAGAGTGTTAGTTGGTTATAAGAATAAGCGTGAATGGCTTAAAAGGGAGGATGAGTAGTGTTAGCGGATTATCAGGAAGAATGAGCAGTGTTAATGGATTATAAGTGAGGATGTTTGAATGACTGAAGTTGTACATATTTCCAGCGGAAAGACAGAAACAAATAATTCTATCGTCACTCATCCTAGATACTGTGACTTTTTTTCCAAACTCTTTTTCTAAATATAGTGGTGTCCACCTTTTTTTTTCCTCTTTTTTGCATCAAATCTGCTTAGAGCTATTTTTCTAAGTAAAGGGATAGTAGCACACTTAATTCTTATTTGTTATGCCTGATGCAACAGCCGTTTCCCTCATTGAGTTTGTGTGTGTCTTTTCTTGCATTCTCTTAAAAATCTCCCAGTAAAAGTTTGTCAATTTTAAATTCTTATCATGTACTGCAGACAGTTGTTTTCGTCCTATATATTGTCGCATACAGATTTAAGTTGCGCTGCTGTCAGTTTAGTATGTATTGGAACTAGTTCACACTGGAGGAGCCTCGAGTATAATTGTTTCCATACTGACGAAACACTTGGGGTTCTTTACAGTCCTAGTCAGTTTCGCTGCCTCTACTAAATGCAACCCTCACGCCGGTGTACACATATGTTAGCTTAGAGGAAGTGTGTTTGATTTGTGTTAATTATTTTGGTTATTTGCTGCACTGTGATCTCAGCAACACTGATGTCCTTGTCATGTTGTGATGTTTCTGGTCAAGTGAAGATATTTGATGAACTACTGTAGAATTAGTCATTTGCTGATAGCACCTGAGGAAGAACTTGCTATCACAGTTCTATACTGACTTGGCTTAGCTTGTAAATAGTTGTAATTACCAGATTATATCTTAATAATTTTTGGCTGTAGTAATTTACGTTTAAATGAATATCAGGGTATGTAACTCAAGTGTACATAATATATACGTATATCTATATTTTTATTCCTTATTACGTCAAAAGAGTTCAGTCATTTATTACTTGTCCTGTTATAGTCTTGCTCAATCCAAAGTTCCCTTTTCCTACTTTGCTTATGTTTTCATGGTTTCAGCTGTGGATCGTTTAAACTCGGCTGTTTCGCTGCTGTCCCTGTACGTCAGGGGGTTT